TATTGGCCCTAAAATAGCTGAAAACTGTGAGAGTTTAGAGAGAGAGAGCGATGGAGAGAGAGACAGGAAGGAACTGCTTGGTAGGGTCAGTGGTCAACTGTTACTATAGATACATATAGATACATACATATCTACTTGGCTAACACCCAAGGTTATTACAATTAACTGAAACCAAGCTGAAAACTAGAATTAAGAGTGATAAAACATTTTAATTAACTTCTACTAAAGTGTTTTAGGTAGAATTTAGATTTTAGTTAGTTTTTTTATTTAGTTTTGAAAATAATGAAAACAGCAAATCCTGTGTTTTCATCTCACCTTACTCCTAGAATCTTCATGGGTCGCAGCAACCCTCTACACCAGCGGTCCCCAGCCTTTTTTGCGCCACGTACCGGTTTAATGTCAGACAATATTTTCACAGACCAGCCTTTAGGGTGTTGCAGATAAATCCAACAAAATAAAATGATACGACCAAGACAAAAACTGTGCTATTTTGTAAATATAATAATAAAGGCGAATTCACTGTGTAATTGTGTAACTTTATTAGCAGTGTCCTCCGGAAATGCGCCAACAACATTGAGCATAACATCCTCCTCTCTGCCCCTTAATGCTCTCTGGTTGCTATGGTAACACGTAAATATTTATTTCAAAATAAGACACACAACTGCAACGCGGGAAAAGACCGAGCTAATGATGAAAACCCTGAAAGCAATACATTTCACACCCGAGCCTCAACTCTCGCGGCGCGGTGCCAAACGACTCATGGACCGGTACCGGTCTGTGGCCGGGGGGTTGGGGACCGCTGCCCTACACATCCCTTCCTTTATTACATATGTGAATCTTCTCTGTTGTCTTCCAAATTAGATTGCTATTCAGAGATGTAAGGGATCACATTAGTCTTGCACACCCCTGACAGTGGATAGCCTCCTGCTAAATCACCTTCTACATCAGACTTGGGCATTTTACAGCCCCATCTGGCCCCTTGACCCTTCCTGTCCAGCCTGCATTCAGTCACTCACGTGAGAACGTTCCTCTCTCCCACCTCACTATAACAAGAAGAATTGAGGACATTGCGGAAAACTTCAGCTGCACCAAAGTGGTCAACGTTTTTTTTCTTAGTTTTGGATGAGAGCTGTCACTGAGCTGTGACACTGCTCAGCTACTTATGTTTGTATGCGTTTTGTATGTGACTTCAGAATTATGGGGGAAATCACAGCCATGCCATGCATGTTTGGACAACTTGGAACTCACATGGGACAAGCTTGCAGGTGTGACAACAGATGGTTGTCCAAATGGGGAAAAATATTAACTTTTGAAGAAAATGTAGGATATAGTTATAAAATGGGTCTTGAACAGAAACTGGTATTCTTGCATTGTATTATACATCCAAAAGTGTGTAAGTCAGTGCAAAAAGTTAACCATGTTGTCAGACCTCAGTTTTTCTGTTGATGTGACTGGTCTAATGAATCAACTAAACTGCAATGCATGAGCCTTTTTGTGCTTGAAATGTACAGCTTGGTGAAGGTGAAGGAAGCCACACATTCAACCTTCTGACCACCTCCACAGGTTCTCATCCATCCTAGACACTCTGCACGGGGAATTTACAAGGCAATTTCAAGACATACTATACTGTGTTACCTTTCAGAGGAAGTTCATTTCTGCCACTTGTATTCCAGCAACTCCAAGCTGCCACTCTTGAATCAGAGGTTGATTCTCACTCCAGTCATTTCAAACTCAGCTGCAGTCTACCCCAGTGCAGGCTGGAGGTCAACATTTGATGAAGCTAACAGAACCACATCATCTGCAAATATCCTGAGACCACCAAAACGGACACCAGCTGTCCATAAAAGTTAAAACATCATCTGCCAAAAAGGGAAGCCCTGGATACTGAATGAATCTAACTTACTGCCTGCAATACAAACCAAGCTCTTGCTACAGTTTTACAGTGAAAAAATACCCTTCATGAACTGGCCTGATACCCCATATCCTGTGAATACCCCTCACAGGATAACTTTAACCCACAGGACATGAATTATTAATCCTTTATTTTTCCAGGTAAAAAATCTCATTGAGATAAAAAATCTCATTTCCAAGAGAGACCTGGCATCATGGCAACAAAAGTCACATACCACATAGGTATATAACATTTAAAACAAATACAATATCCCATACCAACATGTGTAAAATATACAATAACAGGTCAAATTAAGAGTACATTAAAAACAATCACACTGAGTAAAAGAGCTGTTCTCTCGTTCCTTTAAGACAGACTTAAACTCTCCCAAGGTAACCAATTCTGATAATTTCAGTTCCTTCTGCAGATTATTCCAGGAAGCAGGGGCAGCGTATTTAAAAGCCCTTTTCCCCAATTCTGTTCTGATTTTTGGGACAATCAATTGTATGATTTTGTTCGAACGAAGGTTGTATTGGTTGTGGTTTTTACACATATAAACACATAAAATAAATGAAACGTTGACTTTAATTAAAATTATTTTGTCAACAGGTTCCACGAAATTGAATTATGTTAGTTTAAAGCAAAAATCTTTAGTTCATCTAATTTAAAAAAAACTACTTAAGATTAACAAGACATATTTAAGACTAACTAAATCAAGTTATGTTGTATGAACATAGATGATATATTTTCAGGTTAGATAGTTTAGATTAGTTACTTCAACACATTTCTTATTTGTGGCAGTAAAATGTTAAATTTAAGTTAGATTAATTCAAATATTATATTTTCAGCCACCTTGTGCTTTATTAATTAGTTTTACATAAATCTATTTTGTCAACAGGTTCCACACAAATGAATTAAGTACATCCAACTTATTTTTTAAAATTTCTTTTATTGCAACACATTCAGTGAGCATTTGTGTAAACCCAGTCCAAAATAAAACACAACAGCTCATTAGGGTTAGTAATTAACAGTATGTAGACAGATGCAACATCAAGACTTTAAATTAAATGTCTGTATCTACCAGAAATAGAAGAAGAAAAAAAAAACGCATTGAAGATCACATAACACATTGATAAGATGACACTTGAGTTATGCACATGTGATGCTAGTAAGGTCTGTGAGTGTTTTTTCTTTTAGTGTCTAAAATGGATAGCAAAGTTGCTATTTGCAATGATTGCTTAGGGTCAGTCCAGTAACACAATGCCAATGAAGTGCTTTCCTTTAACAATGCAAAGTGAAGTGTCCACCTCAACAGCCACAATTAAAAAAAATTTATGTACAACAACAACAACTAACAATAATAATAAATAGTCCACTGATATTAGCAATCAAAGAAAATTACATCACCATCCCAAATAAAACTTTAACAAAACATGCCAACATTATGGTCTAACAATAAAACAGCTTGTCAGCGTTCAGTTTTTTTGCAACAGCACAGCAGTAACCATTTAACACTTGCCACTGTCAACATTTATTTTACCAGTGTTTGGGCAAAAAACTTCAGATGTAAACATTTTAACATGGAAACAATTGTTCGTCTTTAAAAGTCCACAAAATATACATTCATCCTGCATTCCCAACTTGGATGATCTGATATCCTCGTGTTGGTGTTGTTCCCAGACCATCATGAAAATGTTGTTCCAGGTTCAACATTGCAAGTGACCAATCACATTGTTGTGACGTTATTCTTTTGCGCGCCAAGCCATTCGTGCATTTATGAAATTCCAATGTTGCAAGGACAATATCAATTCTGCTTACTGTTTATTAAAGGGTTATGGTTAGGGTTAGGGTCAGTTGATCGGCGGACAGAGGCGGTTTCACGCAGCTTAAGTACAGTTTTTTGTTTTACGCCGGTTTTTCCCGAAGTCGCAAAAGTATGACGTCACAACATTCTGATTGGTCACTTGCAATGTTGATCCTGGAACAACATTTAGTATGATGATCTGGGAACAACACCAACACGAGGATATCAGATCAACCTCCTAACTTACCCTTATTTTTAGTATGTATTGCAATTACCTTTACAATGCACACAATGTAACACAAACTGAATATGAACATATTTCCACCTCATAACAATATGCCTTGAACGCTAATATACACACCACCCTTCAACATTTCTGGTGCAGTATCATCTCTCAATTAAATCCTTTAAATCTCAATACTTTTGATTGTCTCTTACTAGCCCACCACAACAGTAAAATCTCTCAAATTGTAGTAGTTTACAAACTTTTCAAAATGTTCTAAATTTCTCTTAAATGTAATTTTCCCGTTATCTGTCATTTACAAATTACCATTTTATTCCCATTCAGCCTCCGAAAAACTTCTGTCCATCTGACAGAACATTCATCATCCAAATTAAAGGTTGGCTTATTCATTCAGTGTATTCTTGAGCAACTGTACCTTGGTCAAGAGTCTGCTGACATACAGATGAAGGAAGAGCTTCTGAAGTACTTCAAAGAAAGCTTTCAGTCTTGAGGTTAACTGAGATTCAGTGCATATATCCCACCCATTAAGAGTGCACATGCAGAGGCCAGGTCTTCCAGGTCATGCAGGACACACTAGATGGTTATACCCACATCGGCTGGAGGAGTGCTGGCATCAGCTCTTTCGATGGTAAAGATAGCAAGGGTAATTTGTTCCAGCTCCCTCTGAACAGCTGTAGCTTAGACACAAAAACATAGAAAAATGGCATCCAGTTTTAAAAAAAGAAAGAAAAAGGGCCAAAGCTACCCTTTAATGACGTAAACACAATATTAGGAACATGCACCCCAGTGCGCCACTATTTCAGACTACAGATTCAACGATAAATATAAATAGTTTGGGTATACAAGAAGATTTCCCAAAACATTTAAACAGGTTCCATGCAAATTACAACAACAACACTTACAACATGCAACAACATTAGTTATTCAAAATTTGGTTTAATACAGATAAAAAACTAAACTAAAATTACCAACCAATTATTCTTTGAAGAGGATGCTTGGGTCTTCATTCAGGTAAAAAGGTAGTGCCCTGAGGACACACTCCCTCCCCTTTTCAATGTTTCCTTCTGTAGAGAGTGGCAGAGATACAGGAAGAGAAAACAGATATACTTTAGGATGACAGAAACTCACATTATACGCAAAATGAATGACATATCCACTGCACAGATAGACATGTACACAAGACCAACTAATCATCACATGGACATGAATAGTTAACCTGTTGGGCAGGGTTTCCACCACATTATATATGTCCATAATGGAGGTAAAGACAAACTAATACATCATCTTTTTTGCATTCAAAACATAACATAAAAACATTCACTTCTGGTTTAACCTAAATCAAGGGATCAGATTTTACATATGTTTAGGTAATTTAAATTTTCCAACGTTTTGAGTACCAAACTTTGTCTTGCTTAATATAAATGTAAGTGCACTGTGCAGCTACCATACACTAGCTGTTTAAATTTGAAAATGATCTTATTAGCCATAATATTTTGCTACCAACAGAATAACGCACCTGTGTGGCTGGGGCCAAAGTTTGTCTAATTTTCTTCCCTGCAACGCCTCCTTTTTTCTTGAAGACTTTTATGAGCTGGTCAGTGTATTGGTCAAGTTGTGTAAAAAGCCTTGGAACATGTGCAGCAGTAGTAATCCTCACATATTCTGCTTCCACCTGAAAATATGTCAACAAACACAACATACTGTACTGTAAATATACATACTATATGTACACATATACAAACTAAAACTAATGTAGTAAGACCTCATTAAAGCTATAATTTTAACACAAACATTTACACAAAATGCTAATGGAGCCATTACAGCTTTTATTGTTATTTATCAAGTTCCAAAAAATATTGATCACAGCTGATCTGAAAAGAATTTCATGCCTCAGGCCCTTGAACTGCAACCTTTACCATGGTTCAGATGTGGAGAAGAAATAACAGGGGCATGGGATGGGTCACAAAAGAAAACTTAACTTATAAAACAGTTTTGTTTTTAAAAGTATAACAGTTCACATACCACATACAAGCTCAGCAGTACCACATACACCACATCAGTATAGGAGGGAGCAGGTAAAGGCAGGATCTGAGATTTATAAAGTAAAACAAGAAATTCATTACTTAATTTCAAGAAGCAAATTATTGTTTGAATTACAACTAAATAAAATACTACTCAGAAGAAAAGCAAGAGATTGACACTGCCATGTGCTAACTTTCTATAGAAGCAATTATCACCAGGTCTGTCGACCTCCATTGTCTGTCCACTCATATGTCTTGAATAATTTTATTAAAAAAATTAAGTGTGTACTTTCACAAACTGTAATTTATAACTACGTTGATATGTATAACTCCGCTAGGAAACATGCTGTATTTACAGACCATTTTTACATAATACGATTACTGATAGAGCATAACAATGGTGTCACAGTGGCTTTCGCCCTTGACTTTTTGGATTTTAAATGTCACTTTATGCTATCCTTGCTATCCTATTCGATATTTCCGACTCTCGGCTTACAGAAAAGGAATCCCAAGAAAGCAAATGGAAAAATAACCCCTTGAAAGAATAACCCCATGAACCCCTGTAGCTAATCCCTTAATAAAACAAAAAACAATAAAAATGTTTCTTACACAGTCCACAAAATAAGCATGTCCAGGACCCAGTAAAACTAATGTAAAACAAGCGCACGCAAACGATATAACATGTCTTGTAAGACAAACGCAAAATATAACCATGCTGGACATATAGATACTACACAACATAGTCAAAGAAAAAAGTGGTCTTACCTCTCAAAGAAACAGCAGCTTGGCGCCAAAACAGCCTTTTTCAGTTAAATTTGAAGTCTTGCGCATGAGCAGGCACAAGCCGTGAAACCTTCTTGTTCTGCGCGGTTTCATTACAACTGTTTTTGCATTACTGCCACCTTGTGGATATACAAGGTATATCGATCCTAATTGACTTAACTTAAATGTTATGCGATCAAGTAACACATTAGTATTATGTACGTTGAATAATAGACACAATTACGTAGACTTGATTAGAAAAACATATGTTAACTTAACAAAAACATATATTTTAAGTAAAATGAAAATAAATAATTAATATACACTGAACAATCCACCTCATTCATTTTTTTGAGTGCACATAAATAAGATGGAACCAGCCCAAGGAGAGATTTATAGATAAAGATCAACCAATGGAAGAGTCTGCGAATATGCAAAGATGGACATTTAGCAGCAGCATACAAAGAACAATGATGTACACGATTTCCATAGCCAGTAATAATGCTCTCTCCAAGTCTACAAAACACATGTGAACATGTTTGGGCTGGGTCCCACATAGCCTTGGTTGTCCTCAAGAGAATAAAGAGCTCGCCCCAGTGTTCAATAACAGGACATAATTAAATCAATGATTTACATAATCTTTTTAAGCAAAAATGAAATAAATAAATAATGTGAAAATAAATGTGTAAGTAAAGTGAGTAGAATCCCTGAGGAAAAGTAATGCTGGATTTCTTCCTTGCAAGTTTGATTAAGAAGGGATTAACTCGCATGGCGGCACAGTTGGATCCAGTTTAGTCATCTCAAGTATTCTAATTTGTTGTATCAAATGTTATTAGCAGTTGGATCCATGCCTTGGCTTCAGGTTAGCTTTTGCAATCTCAGTATTTGCATATTCATTTTTCTGAGGTCTATGAGCAGAACGACCAGCGGAGAGACTTCAGATGTTTCTCCTTCGTGATAACCTGTTTGCCACAAATTATGTTCATTGTCATTCAAACTTGGATGGATGGTTGATAACACAATAATGACTCTTAAGACACAATTTTTCATTAAAATGCATTTCAGTATGTTTCATTTAACGAATGAAGGTTTCACTAGTTTTACATTCAGATTAGAGTCCCTGCACACTGACAGCAGAGGGATAGTAGGAAGGCAACCTAATTAAAAGTTTCAAGTTGGAGGCATGCTGATTGTAAATGACTTCAGATGATGCTGGTAGGCTTACTGTTGATCTCAAGCTGTTCAAGCAGTTAATTGAAAAACAAAAAAACAAAAACGATATGGCAAACCAAATTGGTTACAGATTGCAATTAATGCACTCTGTGAGCTGGGCTGGATGAAAACTACCCAGCCTTGTTAGCAAATCCCCCCCGCCCCCCGCTGGGGTCAGACTATAGGAACACAACCGCTTTTATTTGTTTTTCATCCGTTTTCATAAGCTATTATTAACAGCAAACCAAGCGATAAGCAATCACAGGCAAACGACGTTAAAAAAACAAACCCCAAAAAACAAAAGCAGCACCTCTTGAGAAAAGCCTAACTGTTGCTATGGCAACATATCCCTGCACAATAAAATGTGGGAGATTTTATTTTGAAGGATGGTCCTCAGTATTTTCACCCTTTGTCCTTTATCGTCTCTGTTTGTGAGGTGATCAAAGGTGTGACAGATAAAGCTTGCCAGTAAAATGGACAGAGAGGCGGAGAGTGTACCTTTCCAAGGTGAGGGGGCATGTTTTTAAAAGGAGATGTAAAGCTTTAAAGGATAAACTGCTTAGAGAGTGTGTTTAATCACAGCTGGATCATTTAACAGTTGCCTTTGGGTGACCTCAAAACACCTGAGTTTGGGAGCAATAACCATCTGTGGTCTGTGAGACAGAGTGCATTTAAGGTGATGTACTCTGTGATGTAGTCAAAATTAGCCTTGCAGTGCATCGTGGGCTTATTCTGGAAAGCTTCCTCCCACGTCTGTCACAGACTTCCTCCCCCTTTCCTCGCTGGAAACTGTGTGTAGGCAGGAGAAGTGGGTTACACGCAGGAAAGAGAAAGCTCCTGAGGGATGACATAGGAAAAAACAACAGCAGGGCCTGGCTTCACAACGACAAGGAAGGAAAGTTAAACATGAGAGATGCTGACTCACTTCAGACTACAGCTGCTGCTCATCTGAGGATACCTGTAAGAGGTGGATATTTAAATTCACAGTTACACATGAGCAAAGTGATGCAGGGAAAGGTGTGTGACTTGTAGTCAGTTATCCCCGTTCTGCAAAACTCTGTCATGGGAAGCAAGGTATTTTGTGTCATTGGCTTGTACATTATATGACAAGATGACTCAAGCAAGCAATTAATATTTTTTACTATGTAAGAAGATAAGAACAGGTGGATGGTTCTTTTTAATAAATACAACTTAAGATGAAAAGGGTGGAAAAGGGTAGTGGGCACTCTGGGTTAGGAACAAGTGGAGGAGTTTAAGTATCTTGGAGTCTTGTTCACGAGTGACAGGAGGTTGGTAGACGGATTGGCGCTGTGGCTGCAGTGAAGTGGATGCTGTACCGGTCCGTTGTGGTGAAGAGACAGCTGAGTGTAAAAGCGAAGCTCTCAATTTACATCCTTACCCACACCTATAGTCACAAGCTGTGTGTAGTGACCAAAAGAACGAGATCATGGATACAAGAGGCGGAAATGGACTTCCTCCGAAGGCTGGCTTTTCCCTTAGATAGGGTGAGGAGTTCAGCTCAGAGGCTCAGAGTATAGCTGCTGCTCCTTCACATCAAAAGGAGCCAGTTGAGGGTTCAGGCATCTGACAAGGATTTCTCCTGGTCATAGCCAGCCCAATCCACCAAGTACTGAACCACCTGGCCCCGGCGACAAGAGTCCAGAATTCCACGGACAGTTTAACCCCAATTGATGATTCTGGATGGGTGGGGGCTGGAGACCGTAGTGCCAGCGGGGACGTAATGTGTTGTTTAAGCTGTGACAAGTGGAAAACAGGGTGGACCTTCATAAAAACTGTAACCAATAAATGACCCAACTGACTCTGGCTGCGATCTCGTATGGGCCAATAAACATTGGATTGAGCTTCTTGGATTCGGTATGTCTATTCAGGTGTCTTGTGGAGAGCCAGACCCGGTCCTGTGGTTGAAATGAATGGTCCAGGAGATGTTGACAGCGATGTTGTTTGGTATATTGAGCACTGAAAGTATATAACATGGCCAAAGAGACAATTAGGTGGAGATGAAGCATCACAAAAGCGTCCCAATTGTTGGTTGGCCCATATTGCCTATTCTGAGGGTGGTAGCCAGATGTGAGACTGGAAGAGGCCTTCCAGAACCTGGCGGTGAATTGGGACCCCATATCGGAGATGATGTCCTTGGAGAACCCATGTAGCCAGACGACATGTTCTAGAAAGAGTTTGATCGTCCATTTCGTAGAAGGGGGGGCGGATAACGCGACCAGATGTACCGCCTTGTAGAATCAATCCACAAGGGTAAGGATGGTGTTGAGATTGTTAACAGACAGATAGAAGTGACAAAATCATTAACATGGGACCACGGATGTCTGGGAACAGGGAGGCGCTGAAGGTCACCAGCAGAATGTTGGGTGGAGGATCTGACCCGGGCGCAGATGTCACAAGCAGAAACGAACTCACGGATGGCCCAACCCATAGAGATCCACCAGAAGGCATATCAAAGAAGTTGGAGGGTCGTGTTGGGTTCCAGATGGCCCAAAAGCAGGGAGGAGTGTGCTCAGACCATGCCCTCCTGACGACATTTGGAGGGAATGTAAAGCCAACCTGCAGAGGTGTGTGGAGGTGCTGGTTCGGCAGACAGGGCAGCACAAATGGATTCCACCAGGGGCCAGCGAAAGGGTGCTGAAAACCAATGAGGGCGCGTAGGAATAGTTCCTGGTCCAATGTGTGTCACGGTTTGCGGGGCAAGCCATGTTGTGTTAGTGCAGGAGGACCCAAAATGCAGGCAAAGGCTGATGGTATGAGTGGCGAGGACAGAACTAAACATAGACCTAAACTGGGAAAACTAGTAACAAACAAAACCTGAAACCAAAACTCACAGAATGACACACAGAGAAAAACACAAGGGGGCTACACAAGGGATGATGAGTGAAGAGAATGAAGAGCAGAGAGACGTGGAGATTCACCGTTCCAGGGAGGAGTTCGATGGGCATGTTGTAGGAGCGATGTTGGGGTAGATTAGAGGATCCCTTTTTACACCCGACCTCAGAGAGATTGTGGTAGAAAAATCAATGGACTCCGGAAGCGGGAGTTCTGTGGAATCCATTTTGCTGTAGACACTGAGTACCCCAGCCCAGGATCTGGCTCCTCCTGGTGGTCCCTGATGGACTTGCGAATCGGCTGGGTCTGGAACCAGATAGGGTAGGACTGGAGAAGGTGGCCGTCTACTGAAGTGGCCAGAATGAAATGGTCAACCAGGCGTGAAGCGGCTGAGCTGTACCTCTCTGGAACTGGAAGAGTTCTAGAGAAGTATGACATAACTGGTTGGTCTATCTTCAAAGCTCATCAAGAGTCTTGGAAGCCTCATGTCCTGCCATCTTATCTCAGATGTCATCGGTCAAACTCTCCATAAATATTGAAAGGAGAGCAGCATTGCCCCAGTTTAACGTAGTGGCTACAATATGGAACTCTGAGAAAAAGTGACACATGGATTGCTTACCCTGACGTAAATGATATAGTTGCGACTCCACCTCCACTTCACTACAAGGGGGATCGAAGGTCTTCTTTAACTCCTCTGCAAACAGGGCATAATCATTGCAGGCTCGGGACTTGGCATTGTAAAGGGCCGCTGCCCATTCCTGGGCACAGGCAGACAAGAGGGAAGTTAGGCTAACTCCTGGTGCACTGATCATGGCTTTGGAAGCGGTGGAACCAGGATGGAAGAATGAACAAAGCTGGATAACACTTATGGCACCTGAGGCGCGCGCTGGCTGACAGTGGCAAGGGTTCTAGAGCTCCTGACATGAGGGAACCAATGTCTGAGCGGAGAACAGGTGGGTCAGTCTCCCTTTTAAACGCAAACCCCGTGGTGACCTGACCACTACCTGACAATCTTTCAGTTTTTGACAGTTTCTCTGAGCATTCAGTGGTCTGACCTTAGGATGAATTTTTTGGGACATCGGCTCCAGGGCAGACTGGCAACTATTTGGAATGTTGTTTTCCTCAGACAATAATCCTTTTCACTATACAATCATGGACTTCAGATAGTTTGGTAATGGCCCTGTAACCCTTCCTAGAGTAATGAGCAGCAGCAGATGCTTCTCATTGTTAGTCCACAGCATTCAGGCCTGTGTAAGCACAGTGCCAAGAAGGAAAGACATCAGCAAACTATTATAACTTGTGCTTTTATATAGGCTCTCAGAGGTCATCATTAATTAATCAAGTTAAGTTGATTATCAACACCTTGTTATAGTGCATATGGAAGGTATTTACAGCTTGTTCCACATTGTGTCATGTTAAACCTTGTTGCAAAATGGATTAAATTAATTTTTCAGCTCAAAATTCTATTCACAATAGCCTATGATGAGCATATTATCAGCAAAGTGTGCTTTGTAGGTATTTATCATAACGTGTTTGGAAGCACTTGGAAGTGTCAGTGAAAACAGCAACACCTTAAAAAGCATTAATAGGTTAAAAAAATAAAGTTAAATGAAGGTTACAATCTTCCTATTTGAATATTGACCACAACATTAAACAGAGGGATTCCCATAATTGACAAAACTATACATTATGTATCTCCAAAAAGTTGATTCTGTTCATCTGGACGTAGCGTTTTGTGGGAGAAACGTTTCGTCACTCATCCAAGTGACTTCTTCAGTCTCAGCTGACTGCAGGTTTCCCCAATCTTATAAACAGTACATTTGCATAATGACTGAAACCAGCCATATATACATATACATTATGTAGTCCAGCTGGCAGGGCAGTGGCATACCGCCTATATCCATTAGAATCCATCTAAGGTGAACCAAACTCTTCCACCTACTGCTGGTTCCATCTCAGTGGAAAGGATAATTGAAAGGCAAAAAGTACACTGAAACAAAAACAATCGGGTGCCAAACACATTAAAGTGACTCCAGGTCACAAATTCTGCTTCCCATCAACAGACTTTGTTTAGTGCATGGGTGTCAAACTCCAGTCCTCAAGAGTCAGTGTCCTGAAACTTGTACGGGAGTCCCTGCTGCAACACAGCTGAATAAAATTATTAGGTCATTAGCAAGATTCAGCCATTTGATTCATGTTACAGCAGCTCATGAGTGAATGAACATGGTTTTGCAATAAAAGTACATTTTTCAAACACTTACATTTTTTTAAATGTACTTGAGCAGGGTTAGGGGTTGCCACCTCAGCATGCAGTCAAGTTCTGTAGAGACTTGGAATTGACCTACTTTTATTCAGGTGTCTTGCAGCAGGGACACATGGAAAAGTTTCAGGACACCGGCCCTCAAGGACTTGAGTTTGACATCCCTGCTCTAAACTATGTCAGTTATTACGGCTTCAGACCTTAATGCAGGGTTTGCTATGTGTGTGCGCTTAGTCTTACAAGAGTTTCATGTGTGATGCAGGTGATGCATGGCTATTTAAATTTTTCCTTTTAAGGCCGTGGCCCCATCTCCTCTCCTGCTGCAACTTTACTCCTCCTTGTGAAGGTGCTTGTACCGTCTCTACATGATAGCACGACTGTTTTGTTCTTCCTGATCTAATTATCTTAATTTGATTTTTGCACATATGTCACATGCAATACATTTGCCAATTTATCCATGGACTTCTTTGCACAAGTGATCCATTTTTCCTCACATCATAATTAAAGTTTAATAAATCTTTGTAAATCTTTATTCAGTTGGCAGTGTGACTTCGTTCTTTGTTGCAGCCTAAGTATAACACAGTACACACAAACCGAGGAGCAGAAGGAAGAATAAATCTATGAAAAATGTCAAAATTCTATTGCAAGAAATATCCCTGAATGAATTTAACTCATAACATTTGCTTAAATTGTGTGTCTTGACTTTAACTTCTTGTCACTAATCTAATGTAAACAACAATCTTTTTCTTTTTCCATTCACTAAACTTTGTTTTATCAAATAAAAAAACTTTATGGCGTCATTGTGACATCATATGACATCATAGGTTGTCATTTAAAAAATATTAAGTGTGTTGTACATCTTTGTCAATGCCCTTTCATATGATATATTACAAGATCAGATGCTTAGCCAACAGAGGTATTCATGTCCCCCAAGGTCTTGTGTATTGCTGTGAAGTTTGATGACGGTCCATAACGAACTGTGGGTAATATAAAGTTTTACTGATTTTCACAGTTGGTGTGACCTTGAACCTGACCGGTTTTTTAGCAGAATTAAATAAACTCAAGCTGTTATTGGCATCTATTTTCTCTTGAAAACTGTGGACGACTGCACTGCTGACACTAACAGAGACAGAGAGACAAACAAACTGAATCGATTACATACTCCCCCACTGGGGTGAGAAAAATGAAAACATGATAAGTACAGTTCATCAATGACAACAGATCTGACTCTGATTGCATGAAAGCCTTAACTTATTTTAGATAGCGTCTAACATGTTAGACGCTAAAATTAACATGTTGTTGTAAACATTCATTCTGGTAACTCAACTGAAAGCTACATGTACACTACCATTAAACACTGCCACTGATTCCCATCTTTATGCTGTGCTATGTTGCATTACTAAAACCATTTTTGCCTGATGCTGTCTCCGCTCCAGGGCCCAGTGTGAGGTGGAAGACCATCCAGAGGTGAGGAAACACACCTTTCATCTTCTCAGCGTTCCCTGAATAATCCTGCCCTTAACTCTTCTCTGGATCTGGGCCTCCGCCTACCTGTTCCCCAGCTCCCCAGAGAGTCTCCGACTGGGTGCCGATGTCATGGCGGTGCCCAGTGCCCAAGAGTTTCACTGGCAGAGCCTGGCTCGACTGCCCAGCGGCCGTGTCTATCACACTCTGTCTGAAGTGGGGGGGCAGATGTACATGCTGGGGGGCTGTGACGCTGCAGGAAGGCCATGTCCATCCCTGGAGCTCTACTCCCCAGAGGTAAACAATGTGGACAGCGGAGCTGATAGTTTACTGTTTTCTGAGCAGGAATTAATAAACATAAAAATCTTTCAGTCCGTTAAAGACACAAATACACTTTTTTAAGCTAGAAATGAAACAGATATGAATTTATAAGAAACACGCAAGCATTGAATCTGTTTGATGTGTATGTACCCTGAACTAAACGAGCCATGGGCTTTATCTGAACACAGAACTCTAATTTAAATAGTTAAATACAACCCAGTTCTTTGACAGCTGACGTGTCTTCCTCCTCGCAATTTTCAGGGGGACCGGTGGATAAGCTTGCCCCCTATGCCCACTCCTCGTGCTGGGGCAGCTGTGGCAGTTATGGGAAAGCAGATCCTGGTGGTGGGAGGAGTGGGAGAGGACCAGAAGCCTCTGAAGGTGGTGGAGATGTATAACACAGAGGAGGGGAGGTGGAGGAAGAGAAGTGCTCTACGGGAGGCACTGATGGGTGTATCCATTACAGTGAAAGGTATGGATTATACATAAACTGTATGCACCACATACTGCGTCTGTTTCTGTTTCTATAGCAAGTTTCTATTATGCATTTTAAGCAAAATTACTTTGTAATGGTTACTGAAAATTATTAGAATATTCCTCCTTAATTGCCCCCTTACAAACAACTATTCATAGTTATGGTAGACTTGCAACATGCTAGCTTTTACTCCAGAGTTTGCACTTGGCCTCAGTTTCATATACTTTTAAGAGATTTTGACTTCCGTAAAGGTCTTTGGCTTTGCTTGTTTGTCATTTTGTGTTGTATTACCCAACATGTTCTTCTGTGGATTCTGTTTAATGGTGACTGGTAAACATCTCATAGCTACGTTGTGACTACATACTGGCAGTAGAGGTTGTATTATTGATCAGGACTGATTGTGAAATGAAATGAAATCAGCAGTTTTGAGGGAAAAACAACAAACAATTTTAAAAAAATCAAGATTCATACGTCGGGATTGTACTGTTATATCTCTTTGTGAGAATGTGTACAGTCCATGGGAATTGTTGATATTGTAGAACTGTAATAACACAATGATGCCATTTGAATACTAAACCATCCCACTCAGAAAATCTGTAAGTGTTGTTGATTTCAGCTGCAGAGCAGACATGTGAAGAATACCACCAAACACCATCCTGGAGTTAAATGTGTTCTGAACACAGAATTCAGAACACATTTAACACATTTAAATTTCCTCCAAGCTGCCAGGCCACACTGCATTCTTGAAAAAATTTAGTTGTAACTTTTGCTGCACAAAGAGTCAAACCAAATACTGAAAGTAAAAACGTACATTATATTTTTGATTAGCTGCTGTTTTTCAAAGTGGCCACTGTTAGCTTTGATGACAGTTTAGCCCTAGCTGGCCTTATGTTTACCAGTTTCATCAGGTTACCACCTAATAGTTTTCAGTTAACAGGTAAGCTATCTTACGGATCTACCATTAGACAGATAAGCTAACAGTAACTCCTGGAAGTTTTGGCTTCTTAATGTTTCTGTGTTCATGTGTTGTATTCTGCTTAGGTAGTGTTATTGTACAGCAAATAGCCCTTCACTGGTGACACATCTGGTGATTTATTCAGCATTCCAGGCAGCAATGTGGTTTAACATTACAATAACCAAAACTCATCACCAAAATACTCTCAGGGCCATTTGGACAGGTAGGATAGTGATGAACAGCAGCTTTAGCTCACCTGGCTGCCACAAACAAGTGTTCGAAACCCTAACAACACATTTCAGAATGAGTTTAATGAGTCCAGAGTGAAGGAAAAGCAACCAGTAAGTGCTCAGCATATGTAGAAAACTTGGAGACTGTTGGAAAGGCTCCACATGATGACCTCATGAGACTGAAGAGTGTGCAAAGATGTTTTCAAAGCAAAAGTCGGCTGCTTTGAAGAATCTGAAATATAATATAAAAGAGCTTTTAGGTTTGTTTACTCTTCTCTCTGCTTTCACTGTTCTGTATTCTCTTTTGATCTTCTTAGTATATCCCTACACTGTAAAAGAAATAAAGAAAAAAACAAGTAGTGAGCATTCACAGTGAAGTAGGGAACATTAATAAGATCTGTTACAGACATAGACATACTCCTCATCCTTAGTTGGGGTATATAAGTGTGTGTGTGTGCCAAAGAGCCATTTAAAACCTTTTCTGACAGCTTGTATATAAACATACATTAATAGGTCAAATTGCTGATGGACCTCATTGATCAGCGGGCTGCTCATTTGTCTTGCTTTCAGCTGTGTTTGTTTAAGACATTCGTGATAGCTGGAGGGTTTCAGCCCAGCTAATCCCTGGGGACATGAGACTGTTCCCTCAGAGTGTACACAGAGGGAGACAGATAACCATTCACACTCACATTGACACCTCCAGAAACTCTGCAGACTACTCAAATCTGACTCCGGTAGCACGTGGGTACAGTTTTATTACCCACAGGCTGGACACCACAGTAATTAGAACTTTTGCTTAACAGCAAAGCCGGCTGGGGCTTCACAGTTTGCATGAGTTCTCTGCGGGTACTCTGGCTTCCTCGCACATGCATGTCCAAAGATATGCACGCTAGGTTAACTGGCAATTTTAAGTCGACTGCAGGTCTGAATGAATATCATCAGTGTTTGGATGATGGATGTCCAGAGGCTCAGCTCAGGACAAATACGCTCTCCCTGAAACATACAATGAAACACAAACCCGTGAGAAACATCACTCACGTGCGGCTGTCTGATCACAGCTGTTTCACAGAAAATATGAATGCATTAGCATGTGGGCAAAAAATTAATCATGTTAAGTGAAACAAAGAAAGATACAGTTATATTTTTGAAACAATGGCTAAAATAACCACTCAACGTTCCATTTAAGACAAATTTAACCCAATTTTAGCCTTTGTAATATGCACTGGTCATCATCAGCCAATCAAGGAAACATATCAAAGTTGCTAAGTGCATGAATGGGAATCAGTCACAGTTTGGTGAAGTTATCTTTTGAATAGGTTTTGGCTGGAGGTGATTGTTTTATGGCTGTATTGGGTTATATATGGTCTAAACTGATGTCTAATGTAGGCCGTTATTTATAACGTTATTCAGACTAAACAACCCAGTTTTCAATGAGTAATTTGGGGTAAATAAAGGACAGAAAAACTATTTCCATCAATGTGTGGTGCTTGCTTGGTATTATTCCTGGTGTTGAGTGAGTCACACATATGCCAGGTCCATATGTATGATTGCCACCCTGAGCTCAGTTATACAATAGCTATCTGTCACCTTGTTAATCTCCCAATTGTCACGTTATCTATTGTCATCAGTGGAGAATAACTTTAGTCAAAATTAAAACCATACATTTTCTGTGCCCATGTGTAGTTCAAACTCTGAAATTTCATAGGAAATAAAAGAGTTATGGGTAATTTTATGTGCCTAAAAATGAGAGCAATAAAAACAAACAAGATGCATCCATCAAGAATTAACTGTGCAAAGTGTGAAGAAGATAATCAGAGTAGCTGCTCTCCACTGTGAACTTCAGATCAACACTTGGGTGCACTTTAATTTTTACCAAAAAGTCGGCTCTGTTTTGCTGTCTGAAGTCATTGGAGCGATATTTGGGGGCTCTGATTTATTCCTACATTTTGCAGCTAGTATGAGCGGTCTTCTCAGGGAGCTTCTCTATGACTCCAGTGCATCTGTCAGTGTCCGAGGGAACGCAGATAGATGCTGTATACACATAGACTTATTGGCTTGTATGGGCTCCATTGTGCTCCCTCTATCTCCCTGACCACTTTTCGATCCTCTGCCCTTTGCTCGCACTTTCATCCCCCAGCTCATCCCGAGCAGCTGAAAAAGAGACAGATCGTCTGACAAAATAATCAATAATAGCAAATTAAAACAAATCTGGTATTTCTGAATGGAGCGTCAGCCACCACATTGACTAAATGATGCCATTTTTATTGACGTTTGTGGGATCGTTATTTTCTGGATATTTAATAATGAACTTGTGGTAATGAGACATTCTTTTCCCCAAATGAATATAAAGTGTTTTTGCAAACTTTCTTCCCCTCTTGTCACTAATGCAGATGCATTGAGGTTAGAATCTGAAGTCAAGTGGCTTTGTAAAGAAACACTTGACTAAAGTAAACACACAATAAAAATGCAGATTGCTTCCCTGCAGCTCTTTTCCTCTTCATTTTGACGATTAATGCTGCTTTTCTCACGCTTCGACACTCGCCTTCGCTTTCGATTCTTATGCTTGGGGTGTCATGCCAAAGTGCCAGACGTGGACTCTTGCATTTTTATTCTACTGCTGTACTTTCTGTCCTTCGTCTGTCAGATTTTCTTGCCTTGTCACAAGCTAACTTCTCATCCGTGTCTGCCTGTGGATGAGCAGATTTTTTAGCACTTCATGAAGTGCCCACAAGTTGTTTCCATCAGCTAGGATGCGGTGGAGAAGTGTAGCTCCACTTTTGTAATCATTGTGATATAATGTCTGAAATGTCCTGTCTCTGTGCATGTGTCTAGATGGCCGTGCTCTGGCTCTTGGGGGAATGTGTGCAGACCTGCTTCCCCGTAGTATCCTGCAGCAGTATGACCTTCGAAAGGACGTGTGGGCGCTACTTCCTTCCATGCCGACCCCACGCTACGATGCTAACACACATCTGCTTGGCAATAAGCTCTATGTGGCAGGTACTAACACACGAGCACAGCTATTATGTCTGCACTTTATTTGTCACTCTAGTAGACAACTTTTTTTTTACCCTTAAGGTGGCCGTCAGTGTAAGCGACCGTTAAAGGCCTTTGAGGTGTACGACACAGAGACGCGATCTTGGACTACGCTACCCATGATGCCATGCAAACGTTCCTATGGGGGTGTGATATGGGACCCAGCTGGCAGGCTGTGCCTGTTAGGAGGACTGCGGCAGGGCGGGGGACACCAAAGCTCCAAGTTCACCAAGAACGTCAATATTTTTGACACCAACCAAGGTACAGCGCTTAATGATTTTAACCTGTATGCTAGTTTTTAATTTGTTTTTCACATGTAGTAAAAGTAGAAAGAATTCTTGCCATATGCATATCAGGATTCATTGCATATCAGGACAGATAATCGTATTAGAACTGCACATCCAGAACACACCAGTTCAAGTTTGAATCTTTCACTAAACTTAAGCGGGGCTCAACTTCAGAGCTGAACAGAGAGCAAAACATGAAACAGATCTGAGGCATTCAAAGGCAAGTATGCGTCATACTCTTTTACATGCAGCTCTGTATCGAAAACTTATCAGGTTGTGAAAGAATAATTCAACATTCTGCAAATTATACATATTTGCTTTCCTTCTGAGAGCCTGATGAAAAGTTCAGTGTTGAAATAGCAATTCCAATCTGTCCTCAAGTCCCTTCATTGCCTCCGTTATCATTTCCCTTATGCGTGCATAGAATGGATAAAAGAATTTTCTAACCTAAAAACATTTGACAGCTAAATGTGTGAAATCTCACGTTTGATTGAACCTAATGTCAAAATGACTATGACTGGGGGAAATATTTCTTAACGAACAACATTATATCAGAAATCTGTTAACTCCAGCTTGACAGCAAGACTCCTGCATGCAGTCACTGTGTCAAGCTAATGTTTGCCAAGAAATACTTCCAGCATGCTACTTCCTATAGTCATGTTTAAACCAATATGTTGTCATCCCAGAGCATCATTTACTACTGTTCTGTCAGCTGCATCTGGCGTCTCAGACAGACACACACACACACACACACACACACACACACACAGTAGGATTGGGCGATATGCACTATAGTCCAGTCATCCTGCTTTTTTGACTGACTGATAGAATTGCCACCAGGGCTCCAGAGGTTAATGTACGCCCACCAGGGTAGTGCTATCAACCCTCCATACTGCACACAATTGGGCTCAAAAGCTAAAAGACTCAGTAGTGTGCAGGTGAAGGAGCAACACACAAAAAAATGAATGATTTAGCTTAACTGTAATTAGTTAGCATAAGTGGATGGATCTCAGCTGAACAGTTGAAACAGTGTTAAGTCACACATTTTCAGTCTTTACCCTTTTAGCTCACACCTGCAGTTCTACTAACTCATCCAGTCTTTTTGTGTGTGTTTAAAGTATCTCCTGTTTATCTGCTCCACTCTTTACTGTCCTCCCCACATACAGCAGAGATTTTCGCTGTCAAAAACACTCAGCAGGAAAAAAGTGAAGAAGAAATAAACAAGATCATCACATAATGCTGTAATTTAAATAACCTCCTCTTTTCTATCACTTGATGATAGAAAATGTTGACATCATTCTATTATTTAATGACACACACACTCGTTTTCATGTCTTAGTAAGGACAAAGAATTGACAAAACGCTTTCCTCAGCTCTATAGCCTAACCCTAACCCTAACCCTAACCCTAACCTATTTGTAACCTAACCCTAAAACCATATTTTAGGCCTCAAAAATGCCTTCAAATTCATGAGAACTGGCATTTGATCCCCACAGTGACTGTTGGGCCCCCTAAGTATAGTGCCATTCCAATTTCTGGTTCTAAAAAAGACCCAAACACACACACACGCACACACAGACTTACATCAATTTCAAGTCACGTAAAAGTCCAGGCAGGAGCGTGAAATAACACATTTTTCCTTCATAAACTTTTATTGCACTCAAACTATTTGAATTTCAGCACCATGGACAGCTCTAAAACACAACTGTTTGTAATGGTGAACCTACACAAATTCGGCTGCATGCACATGCAGGATATAGATCATATGCACACACACACACACACACACACACACACACGACTACTCCATGTAATCTGCAAATCTATTTGGGTTTTGATTAGTTTCTTTTGTTAGCTTAACAAATTGTTGTTGTTCTATTAAAACACAAAGTATAGAAATAAAGTTCTGTCAATCAGGCATTTTTGCTTTGTTTTAGCCCAATGCTATAATTTATTCCGTCAGTCACTCTGACTGCCAAACTGTCACCAGACTTATATATATCACACACAAAAGTAACATCAGTCTGTGAATGTCAGCGACCTGAGGAGAGTATCTGCTGGACTTTTGAACAGAGCCTCTTGGAAAATATGAACGTATCATAATTCATATTTTTGACCACACTCGTCTCCATTTACATGACCCTGCGTGCACTCTCATCTTCACACTGTCATTTCTTGCATTCTGTGATTATTGATGGCTTGTGTTTTTAAACATGAAGGCATAAAACAATGATTTCATTGCACTGCTAATGTACTTATATAAAATGTGAAATCGAAATTTAAACGCATGCAGTAATGCCTGCATGCTCTGGTTCAAAAATACTGCGCTGTGAAAGGGACACTTCAAATCCAACAACGAGTACATGTCCAGCTAATAGATCCAACCTGCAGTATTTATTTATTTATTTAGTTATAGGTGGAAAAACTCCACAGCTGATCCTTTTATATACAGTTTCTATATAATTTCTTTGGATTTTTTTCTAAACTCTCCTTTCATGCTCTGCACATCTCTCATAAGTTGCTGCAGTGATTTTAATGCCCAAACCAACTTTTACAGACAGGTAAGAGAGTGCAGACCGTCATTAGCGTTACAGCGGATTCCTTTGTCACGCGTTAGGTGATCGCTCAAACATCTCTCCCCACAGAAGGACAACGACCTCCAGACCAAATAACCCTCTCTGTGCCAGCCGTGATTTTAACACATGCAAGCGGTATTCCAGGAATCACTGACAGAAAGTTACATCGTTTTCAATGTATGTTCACAAACTTTTTATACAAACTTTAAATGAGGGATTGTTGCTTTTCTTATTATACTGCTTGTTGTTCAGCTGCCGCTCTTCATTTGCACTGGAATTATTGGCACCTCTTAATGATCAAATAGCCTTCTACAGACAAGCAGCAAGACCCGTTTCTGCCTGTCTGTGAAACTTTCTTAGTGAATGCCATTGATGTGTTTTGTCCGTTAATAAAATTAATCACAAAAGATTTTCAATTTTTACATTATTGTTTTTAAAAGTATACAGTCCAGAATATGTACTAAAACTGTGGTAATACATCTGCAAACTTTGTGACATCATTTTGAATTTCTAACAGAGTGTAACTTAAAAATATATAGAAGTAATTTTTACTTGGTGCAATGATCTGACAAACCAGAACATGCCTGGTTAGTTTATTTAGGTCACTCAGTCAGAGAAACCTTTTTTAGCGCACAGCTGAAAAGAATATCATTCTTTTTCTTTTATCTTGTGGTAACTGTGAGAGCATGTAATCTCCTCCTTGAAAGAAATTGACGGTTTCAGCTGAAACAACAAAAACTGAATATCAGGAAAACCATAAATTTATAGAATTCACATAGTAGTATGGATGGCATTTTTTGGTAGTCTTCTAATGTCCCGTTTTCGCAAAGGCACCATGAGGTTGTTTCTATTTGCTCAATCAAACTCTGCCCAAAAAGCTGTCCTACGCATATCTATCACAATAACGCTGGTTGAATACACTTTAATTTGTATGGTTGGTTAAAACAGAGCTTGAAAAAAACATTCCCCTCTAAGATACAAGAACGGGACTGAAAATGCTTTACAAAGCAGCCAGTGTCCAAAGAAACACCTTCATAAAGCCTGTCTCAGAATTAATTAACCTCTACGTCTGCACATCTGTGTATTTAATTTTCTTTTAAATTGCATCTATTTATTAGATTATATTGAAATGGATGAATGAAAAACTGTTTACTGGAAATAGTTTTGATGATCTGCAAATGATGATGCCCAAATTGACTGTGAAGTTTTATCCATTTATTTTACATTTTCAAAACTTGAATCAAAGTTTTTATATTTTAATCGGTGAAGAGGTTTACAACAAAACCTAGCAAAAGAATATGAAATTCAATTCAGTTTTATTTATATCGCTCCAAATCGAAACAGTGGCCTTAATGCGCTTTATATATATATTAGGTAAAGACTCTAGAATTATACTGAGTAAATCATCTATAGCTAACTTTTCTAGTCTGCAACTGAGTGAAACGACGTATTTAAAGTGGAAAGTAGATAAGAGGACAGACTCCCAGTGGCTGACTGCTAGCTGACAACTAACAGTCAGGCGGTATCTGTCTATTAAAGTAATTCATTACACTACTCACTTTACATTATTTCCACATTACTCCATAACATGCTCTGCAATGCACTCTCATATAATGAAGAGTTAATAATATAAACCCAATGCTACAGTCCCAAACGCTAACACAAATCCCTATCCTAATGAGGACACATAGGATATTTTATAGTGTCTACAGAAAACCATTGAAAGCCGTTGAAGGCAGAACACACAGACTTTGAAGGTTCCGGCTCCTAGGCTCAATTTAGTATTCGCTCAGCTTTAACATTCTTCTGGGATCTTTGTTAGCTTTGTGTTATCATGCTGTTTGTCTTCCCTGCACACAAACTGAAATCAGCTGATTGCAGCTAATTTCTGGAGGACCTCTGTGTCACAATTAAAATAATGGTAGCTGTAATGTAATTCAGTTACTTCGATACAGTAACTTGTTACATTACTGCATTACTGAAAAACGTAATGCATTCAAACATTACCTTCCATCCATCCTTCTACTCTCATTTCCTGTCTTTATTTTACTTTTCAAAAAAGAAAAGAAATGCTAATTCCTACAGAGCAGAATGAAGACTGGAGGACTGAGCACCGCTTGACTTCAGCCTGATACGTGAGGGATGTTTTCATAGCACTCAGAGGTTTCATCAAGTCTTCTACCCAAAAATAAAAATCATTATCTCGTTTTTGCAATTGCGTCCCTCTTCAATTAGACCCTGCTCTCTTACAAAGCAGTGATTAACATCAACCTCACCGTGCAGATAGCTGGTTTCTTTCCTTGCTTAATTCTGTGCACACTCCATGTCCCTAAACACAGTGACATGACTTATCCCTCTATCCAGCAAAGGCACCCCAGAGTAACAGGTGAACAAATTGA